GAATGCCCAAAAAGCACACAAGCTCTAGAGATCACAAACATGGGCTTCGAGTGGGTCCTCACTGACAGAAAACATCACCTTGTCTTAGAATAAAATTTTAAGTAAAACACTACTAGATGTTTTGGTGATTTAGTGAGATTTACAGTGTCTGTTAGACACCTGCAGTTCAGAGAGACATGACGAAGGGAAGCCGCTGCCTCACCCGCAGATGCAGGCTGAAGCCCCAGCCCATGGTGGGGAGCCCTTTTCTACAGGGGAGCCATAATGACGAGAGTGCCTGTGTAGACAGAAATGCTTCCCACTCAGCTCCTGTCTTTCAGCTGCTGCATGCCAGCAAAATGAGAATGACTACTGCCATTTTGTTTCTTGACAACTAGAGTGGCTGCTCACTGGTATTTTCCTACCGCTGATTTATTTTGGGTCCCACCTCCTGATCTATGCGGCCTCCAGCACTGCAGCTCGAAGAGTCTGCACATGAGTAACGTGGCTCCTGACCGTTACGCTGCAGCCCACAGGGCTCTGCATAGTGACGATGGAAAGTACAAGCTTTGCTGATTTTCATTTCTTCTATTCAATAAAACATTTAAAAATACTGTCTGAAAACCAAGACAATACATGATAGTTTCACAGCAGAAGCATGACCTTCAAAATACTAAGGAGATCTTTCTTCCCAAGTAAAAGTCTTGAATTACACAGCAACTAGTGACAAGCTTACGTACCCAACCTGGTATTTTCCAGATTTATTCCTCTAACTAAACTAGACTATCAGTGAAGAAAAGCGAAGAACATGAAGTGAGGGACAGTGAAACTACCTATTAGTCCTTGCCTTCCCTTCTCAAACCCTTTCTGAAGCTTGAAATAAAGGAAAACTAACACTGCAACAAAAGGCAATGCTAGTACCTATTCCCATGCAAATTCCCACAAGAATCAGGAGGTTCCTGGGATGCTCCTCAAAACTCAAGAGAAACCACTCTTGCATAAAGCCAGCTTTCACAGGAACATAATGCTGTTAATGGTGGTGCTCAAAGGCCTGTAGGTAGGCCTCACAAAGGCCTACATGAAGAACGGGTCTCTGCCTCAAACAGTACACAATTATCAGCATTAGCTGCGATATAAAAAAAGAATACAGCACAGACATCGTTCTCCACACCTGCCATTTTCCAACATCACCATTCAATCCTCCCTCCCCCAAAGGGTAAAAGAAAAGTTTTTAAAGGTCAACATAATAGTTAAACGCAACTGATAGGGCCCAGAACACCACACCGTCCTCTGAGTTCAGACCGCTTTACGTCTTTATTTTCCATTCATGCACAGTCATTTCTTTCTTTTCCAGTGCAAAGGGACATCTATATTCCACGTACCCAAGATGTGTTACCTTCTCACCCCATAAAAACTGTAAGTTGTGAACAAAACACACAATATCAACTCTACAAACTATGGTTTAGACAAAAGGGAGGGAACGACTACCACTTTCAGACATACTTAGAAGAGACCATCACCTACAGCGTGCAAGCTTAGTGAACTTATTTTTTCACCTGCATACGGTCTTCAGGTTCCCTCATTCTTATAGTAAGAAGAAAAGGTGCCGCAAATGATCGCACCATTGTGCAGTTAACACGAATTTCACACAGAACTGTAGCAAGAAAATAGTTTGAGGCCTCATTAAAAATTCAGTATCTTTGTGTCAAAGTAAGCCATGATCCTTAAAAAAAAAACAGCAAAGCAAGCAAAAGTATGTTTGCACTGCAAATGCCAACACAAATTGGAAAGCAATTAAAAAAAAAAAAAAAGCAGCTTTCAACTATGTTATTAGACCTACATTTTATAGCCAGTAAAGTATCAACTGGTTGACTTTTTCTTTTAAGATGAAGGCAACAAGTATTCTGGCCACACTGAAATAAAATAGTATATTTCTGGTTGTAAATTTTCATTTTGGAAAAAATATGAAGATTTAGACTTGAATAAGAGCTTTTCTCCTTGAGAATGTAATTGAAATCTGCTACAATAAATAATGTATTTATCTGTATACACTCGTAATCTTCCTCCACAAAGAATCTATTTTAGGAAACTGATAGAAAAGGAGGAGGACATTGCTTATATCTCTGGAGACCAGGTATAAATTTGTGTAAGGGTAGCAAGTGAAATTAGTTTACAATAATCACATTTATTTCTGAGAATAAAACAAGTGGTTGGTCAGCAAGTCCGGACACTAATTTTGAAATAGTAAAGAATAAGGACTGAAGAGCTACCTTGTGAACTCAAAGCATGGTAGAAGAAGCATGAAGAAAAGTAATCTCCACCGTAGACCAGGTGACATCTGAATTCTTACTTGCACAAGTATTAAAACATACGACTTTGGGGTTTGAGTTGTTGTTTAGCTTTTTGGGGGGTTGTTTTGTTTTGATTTTTTTTGTTTGACTGTTTTTTAATTTGATTCCATCACACAGGCATATGATGAACTTGTAAGTTCTTAAAAATACCTGTAGTAAAAGTGTCAGTATATACTATCAAATTTATTCATAGGCAGACTTTCCTCCATCCTCATAAAGTTTTCTTTTTAAATGCAATTTAGTACCTCCTACATAATCTGTGAGGTACAAATAGGTGACATACTGCATTGTTTTTAATTGGAGTGATTTTCTTCAAAATCCATGGGCAAGGCTCATTAGGGATCAATACTGACAGCAATGAAAAACTAAATCCGTTCACACACAGATGAATTACAGCATGGGCAGAGTAAGAGTGAAATTCCATAATAATTCTGACCTAACAAGTAAAATGTTATTTCACTTTCCATGCCCATTCTTCAATCCCAGACTTTTCCACTGAGGCACCCAATAAAGCAGCCAATTGTGATATGCCCACTATAAATCCTACCAAAGAGCAACAATATGTCTTACATAGCTCACTAAAAAAGCATCAAAACAGCAACTCTCAGTCATCACTACATCAGATATATGTTCTCACTATGTCCCACGATCCCCCCCCCCATAGAAGCTCATGTGATCCATACTACCTAAGATTTATGGATAAATCAACAAATTCAGTGTTCTCTGCCCTTTCATTAATACATTAATGGTTTCCATATAATGTGGACTGTTTTAGCAAAATACAGTTATCCTTTCCAAACAGCAAGCAACTTCTTGAAGTTCAAAAACAAACAGAAAAATGTAATTAGGCTTTACAGAGGGCATTGCATCTTAGCTGCAAAAAGCAAATGCACATTACAAAGAGGCTTCTGAATATCTAAGTAATGGGAGCACGCTCACAGAAAGAGTGAAATTTACTATCAGTTGTAACTGCTAAAATGAGAGCAAAGCAAGAATAATATCTGCCAGCAACTGTATTAATGGGAGATTGTTATGGAAGCCATTTAAGGAAATGCAAGACTTGGAATGGTATAATGATGCAGCTGCAGAAGAAAAAAATGTGTGTATTGTTAATATGTTGTTGTATAGCTTCAGACATTTAAATTAATGAACTAATTTCAAACTTCAAAATGCCAAGCACCCCAGTGACCATACACTTTCCATAGGAATTGTGCCTGGTTTATTTCCATAAAACTCTTAAGTAAAATTTCCATTAGTCTTTAACTTGAATAACGTGCAATTTCCATAGAACAAGATTGAAAAATCATAAACAGTAACAAAATGCAATGCAGTAAATCCACCACGTTCAAGATCTATTTTTCAAACTATTCATCAGCTCAGAATAATTGTATAAAATCAGCAGAAGTATTCCAAATGCTCAGGAGAGGAAACACTGCTCTAGGTAATAGGTAAATGCAGGACTGAATAAAAGAAAATTAATTTCTTCCA